TCGATAGATAGTCCTTCCGAGGGGATTTTGCCTTTTAATCCGACGAACTCCACGTCGTCGCGATATAAATCTGTGGGTGAAGCTCCCAGCACTTGCGTCGGTTCGGGAATCGACAGAGCAAGGAGGAACTGTTCCTTCGAAAGCAATGCTTTGAAGTTGTGAGCGTTCAATTCGTGGGATAACGAAGTGTTATCCGTATCTGTGGGTCTGTAGTCTGACCGGCGCGAAAGTGCGTCGGGCTTTGTGGATTGCTTACCTGGGCGATACGTGATGACAAAGTCGAAATCCGCCATCAGTTCGTACCACCGTGCTTGTCGACGGGTGAGTTGTTTGGTCGTAAGGAAGTATTCGAGGCTCCTATGGTCCGTGAAGACTTGGATTTGGTGTTGTGACCCCTCCAAGTATTGCCTCCACTCCTTGAAAGCGAAAACAATGGCGAGGAACTCTTTGTCGTGTATTGGGTAATTAAGCTCTGCTGGGTTCATGCTACGGCTGGCAAAGGCTAGCGGCCGTGATAGACCATCCCCGCCTCTCTGAGAGATCACAGCCCCAACCGCGAAGTCCGAAGCATCGGTTTCGACGGTCAAAGGTAAATTGGGATCAAAATGACGCAGGATCGGGGCAGACCCGATCCTCGACTTAAGTTCTTTAAACGCGGACTCACAAGTAGGAGACCATGTGAACCTCGTGTCTTTCCTGGTAAGTTCGTGAAGTGGTGTTGCGACTTTCGCAAACCCAGCTATGAAACGGCGGTAGAAGTTCGCGAAGCCCAGGAAGCTCTGCACCTCCTTGACTGTCCCTGGCGTAGGCCAGTCTTCGACAGCTCGGACCTTCTCCGGATCCATGTTGATCCCTTCAGGAGTAACAAGGTATCCCAAGAAGGACACACGATCGACGTGAAAGTCGCATTTATCGTGTTTAGCAAACAGCTTGTTTGCTCTGAGCCTCGTGAGGACCTCGCGGACATCGGATTGGTGTGTTCGAAGGTCCGCACTGTAAATTAGTATGTCGTCCAAATATATAATTACTGTCTTATCCAGCAAATCTCGGAAAATGTGGTTCATGAGGTGTTGGAAGGAAGCGGGCGCATTAGTCAGCCCAAAAGGCATAACCCGATACTCGAACAATCCGAATCGAGTGCGAAAAGCTGTTTTCCACTCCTCGCCCTCCGCGATGCGGAGCAGATTGTAGGCTCCTCGCAGGTCGATTTTGGTATAGACCGTTGCTCCTCGGAGTTGATCTAACAGGTCGCCAATCAGCGGCAATGGGTACCGATTTTTAACGGTTATCTCGTTGAGACGTCTGTAATCTACACATAAGCGCAGTGAGCCGTCTTTCTTTTTTACAAAAAGGATAGGAGCGCCTGCCGACGACTCCGAGGGCACCACAAACCCCTTGGCAAGGTTCTCATCCAGGTACTTTCGGAGGGCATCTTGCTCCACCGGCGAGAGAGAGTAGATAGGCCCGAAAGTGGGGTGTTTGCCCTCTACCAGCGGGATTCGATGGTCGAACGGTCTGTGGTCCGGAAGTTTATCCGCCTCTCCTTTTGAGAAGACGTCCAGGAAATCCCAGTAAGTGTGGGGGACGACATCCTTCGGGTCCAGCTCCCCCACAGTGGCCAGCCGAAGGTACACTGCCCCCTTCTGGCCGTCGAAATCCTGATCGTAAGCTTCCGGACTGATGATAGAAATGTTTGGTGGCCGAACCAAAGGTTCGGCCGAAGAAGGGGAAGGCAGTATACGTTCGTGATTCCAATCAATGATTGGTCGAACTTTCTTGCCAAAGGGAAAGCCTAGTATTACCGTAGCCAGACCGATGTCTGCCACCGTGAACCTCGAAGTATATGGTTCGAACCCCTCCCCAAGCAGAATCTTCAACTCCACCTCGAATTCCAGCGGCTTTGTCACGCCTCCTGGAAGATGAAGAGTTTGGGGAAGGTCTTTGGCAAGGAGAGGGAAACCATGCTTTCCAAGGAACGTTTGGTCGACAAGGTCGGCCTGGGCTCCAGTATCCACTAGTGCTCGGGTCATTATCGACTGGTTATTATGAATTATAGCGATGGGTATAGTAATCTGCAGGCTGGAAGGAGAATCCGCCCCTCGAAGCGAGGGGTTTGACGACGGTATTTGATTTTTAATATTTTTTTTGGTGTTTGTAGTTTTAACTGTTTGTAAACGGACATCATCAGACACTCTAAAAGCCAGAAATGAAATGTGACGAGAAGTTCCCACTGGCTCTCCGGGCTCGTCGCTCGGAGGTGGGTCTACTCGTTTCCCGGCTGGGAAGACGAGTCCGAGCCCGAATCGTTGAGTTCGAAGATCATCTCTTCGTCTTCAACTGTCATAGCTCTGACCTTGATAGGGCGGGAATCGCTTTTGAACGGTGGTCTCTGCCCCGACTGCTTCGACTTGGGGCACACCAGTACGGTGTGACCCGGGTCCCCACAGTACATACAAAGATTTTCTTTTCTTCGGCGTTCCTTTTCCTCATCGGAAATAGGTCCTCTAGACTTTGTTTTACCTGTGCGGTCAGTCTTAGAGGGAGGTTTGTTGTTACCGTCGATGTTCGAACCCTTTCGTTCGAAGTTCGAACGTTGACTGGTGTTGTTGTCCTTGGGGTTGGAGCCCGACTTATCGTCTGACCCACCCATAGATTGGCGGATACCGGAATAATGACGATCAATTGTGATTGCCGCGTCCACTAACTCCCTAAGGGAAGTCGGCTGATTCTCGCGGTTTGCAATAGCAATTCGAATCTCGGCCGAAAGGCCGGTTTCGAACGCGTCTTTCTTGGCCCTGTCATCCCACTGTACTTCAGTAATAATGGCAGTGAACTTTGACCAGTAGGTGGCGACCGAGCCCTTACCTTGCTTGATGGATCGTAGTTGGTTAACCGCATAACGGTGACGATCTGGGTCGCCGTAAATTCTTTTGAGTTCGGCGAAGAAAGCCTCTGGTTCCCGGGTCCAACCCGGGCGTTCGACGGACGGTGTTGAAAAATAACCGTCCCACCATGCCCCGGCGTCCTCTATCAAGTGAGAGGCGATCCAGAGCACCTGTGCTTCTGGAAGCATATTGTTGCCTGCCATCTCTAGCATCATTCTAGCACGGGATATGAAAGCTGGAAGTTTACCTCGATCTCCCTTGAACTTTTCCAGGTTGGCCATGGGTAACTTGGGAAGAGTAAATCCCGAGCCGGGGGCAGGGGACTGGGAGTGACGATCGATCCCCCCGGTTCGAACGCCTAACGCGTTTGCATTAGCTAGGGATTGACCCTCTAAATGTGCGGGGAGTTCGCGACGGAAACCAGGCGGTGGGATGGCCGTCCTGGTTGGGGAGGGAGGTTCATTTGAACCTCCATCGTGAGAAGCAGATTGGAGAGACTGCACCTGTATACGTAGACGAGCCATCTCCTGATTTTGTTCCTCGAACCTTTGGTTTAGACCAGCTAAAGCCTGAAGGATTGCATTGGTACTTGTAGAGGTGGTGGCAGGGTTTTCCACCGCTGGGGTGGCTGGTTGTTGCCCCCCTTGAGTGGTAGGGGCTACACTACCCTCAGGGTGTAACCTTGTAACCCGACCACTTGGAGTATTGGGAACGCTCGACATTGTTTTCAGATTGTCGGGCGATTACAGTTCGGGACTAGAAGAGCAACCTCGTAGAAGTCGGTACAAGCTAGACAAATGTATCTTATGTCAAGACCAGACCGAAGGTCGAAGGATCTGCGTCGAGGGTGATGAGCTACTTGTAGGGACTTGAACTAGTTGTAAGAGGATACGAGGATCGAAGCAAATAGTTCGAGGAGTGAATAATAAGTTTTGGCAAATGTATAAGAGAACTTGTATGTTGAGACAGACAAGATACATTCGTCGAAGTTGTTCTAAGCTATGCACTACCTTATGTACATGGAATGAGAGTGTAATGTAGATAAGGGTGGCTGGTAGTGTTTATCGGTGGCGGGTAACTGGATATTACCCGAACTAGCAACTTCGACGCACGTGGTCATGACAGAATCCCACCGGAGTTTCAGTCAAGACGATCGGCACGCATAGTTTTACCGGAGAAGGGGTGCTAGAGAGACTAAGGGAGATTGAAGCAGCAACGAAAGCGAAGAAGGCAAATGCACAGGAAAAGCGTTAGAAGAAACAACGGGAGGAAGGGAGGTGACAGGAAGGGGACAAGCGTCAGAAGAGACAACAGGGGGGAGAGAATTGACAGGAAGGGGACAAGCGACAGGGAGGGGAAAAGCAACCAGACGGAGTGTCTAGTTCCGCAGGTAAGCAACTCAATAGTCTGGCTGCATGTATCTGACATAGCAGGCCAGGTCCGACGCATTACTCTTCGTGTTTGAGTGTTCATATCCATGCATAATTGTGTATACTCGGGTGATCTCTGCCTCAAAGACGCGTAAATTCTTCCGGCCCGGTAATTAGGTTTGGCCGCTTTGGGGGTTACCCCCCTTAGCCCGCGGTTTGCATTCCATGATTGACACTGGTTAAATGGTGAGGGTAGGTCTTAGCGGGTAAGATCGCCAAAACGTTTGGGGGGTTTGGGGGGGGGGGGATCTTACCCTCTACTGTCAGGACCAGACATTGGAAATAGTTGTGTCAATGAGCTATGGCTTTAGGGCCTTGTAGGGAACAGACCTAGTGACGTAGTAGATAGTCTAGTGATGTAGTGGATCGAAGAGTGTATCAGTCAATGAGATAGAGTGGCAAAAGATTTCCTAGATGATGAGAAAATACATTCAACAAGACATCTATGAAAAGGGGCTGTTTCTAAACACAAGAAAGGAAGTGGAGTGATACCAAAATCCTTGGAGTAAAGATGGAAAATAACATGAGGTGGGAGAACCAAGGGAGACACAGATAGATGAGGGACACAGAGATGAAGGAAAAGTATTGTAAGGAGAAGAAATAGCAATCAGGTATGAAAGGAGAACAGAGGACGCCATAGCGGGATTAGTGAAGCGGAGATGGGAACGGATAAGGTGGTACGACTTCTGCATACGACTTCTGCATACGACTCTGAGGAATCTGTCTTTAGGTACCCGTGATCCTGACACTCACCCGTGTCTGCACATTTTTTAGCATCTCTCCTCATTACCATTTCAAAATATCCTCTCATACAAATGGGCCTGATGTTTGGGTCCTCAAAAATCAAAGTTGTGGATGTCTCACAGCAAGAAGTACATACCGTTGGAGACTAGACACTCATGTGACCGAAACTCCTGGCATACATAGCAACTGAATTGAGCCTGTTGTCTTCTCATCACTTCTAAGTTAGTGCTGAGCAGACAACAGGTGACGGAATCGAGTCCGTCGTGGTAACGTCTCCATTGTCAAGCAATTGTTGTCATTGTCCCTTCCCAACTCGCCTCCCCTTATCTCCTCCTCTGGACAACTCCCTTGACAACTCTACCTTATCTGCCCACACAAACCCTTACTCGAAGTGATCACTCTCATTCACCATGTCAACCTCTTCAGTGAAAGAAGATCGGAAATTGACTGGGTGTGACAATTGTGCACTATGGAATCAAGCACTGCGAATTGCACTAGGAAATGCTGGTTACATCTCCCATATTATTCAAGAACCGTCAACCCTTCACAAAGCCGTTGTTACCCGTTATCCCTTCTCGGAAAAGCCAACAGCTACTGAGGAGTCAAAGTGTTTGGTAGCTCAATACGAATTAGAGAAGGACCAAACAAGCACCTTTGCCATTGTCTATGGCAGTCTCAATGAATCCGTCCAGAACACACTCCCTGATACACTCTCAGACTTCGGCAAACCTACACCTAAAGCTCTTTATGATCATCTCATCTCCAGATATGGTGCGCAAGATAGCACTCAACAGGCTGAACTCTGGTCACACATCTTTGGAGAGACTATTCCAGAGAACAATGATCCAGAACCAGTTCTTACCACCATCCGTTCAAATATTGCTGAGATTATTGCTGGAGTTGGAAAAGAAGTGACAGTAGCTGAGTTTGCCAATCACATTGGTGCTTATGCAGCTATCTGACGACTCCCCTCCTTGTACGGCATGCTTGCCTCTACATTCTACAAGGGCTCCGCTAGTGAGAAGCTCACTCTGGACGAAGTTATCAAACAAGTAGCAGACGAGCATTGGCGACGAGGGATCAAGGGTGAATCTGTCAACGAACACGGTCTTCTTTACTCTCAACCAACTATAGCTACCGCTGTCCATGGTAGTCACAAGTCATGCAAATGGCATCCTGGTACATCATCTCACACAACTGAGGAGTGTAGACGCAAAGGGAATGGGAGGACTTGGCTACGGGCAAAGGAGTATAAGAAGATGCAGGAGGAGAAGCATCAGAAAAAACAAGGACAGAAGGAAACTGGATACAAGGCAGGAGGAAAACCAGTGGCGGAAGTGGAGCCCGGGATACTGATGGAGGAGACTGGTTGACATGCTCTCCAGGTGACTGAGGTGGGACTTTTGTTTTCTGGCCTCGACCCAAGTGTATTTATCATCGATAGTGGAGCCACCAGCCCGTTCGTCAAGGACAAACATCATCTCACCAATTTTACTCCCCTCTCAACACCCTTAGCAGTTGAGTTGGGAGACGGCAAAACAATCCATGCTACACAAACTGGTCGGCTTACCTTTAAACATGTTCACTTCGATAAATGCTACTATGTTCCCAACATGGATTCAACCTCCTCTCCACCCAAAGACTGGGAAATGTCAAGGACAATTACGAATGGCACTTCTCTGTGTCTCAAGGTGCTTGTCACAGGGTTGGTTCTTCCTTTGTTTCCTAGGACCGACAGCCAAAAACTTTGTGGGCTATGATGTCACGAGACATACTGACCAGCATGTGCACGATATAACAGTGCCCAACGGAACAGTGATCTTAACCACTGCGACGAAAAGGCCTATTAATCGGCGGTTAACATTACCGCCGATCGCTGGTTAAATACCCTTCCCCGACTTTCGCTCGACTTGTCACACACTTTGTGACATTATGCACTCTCTTGGGCCCCCGCTTTGGGGCCCCGACAAGGGGACCCCGCTTGGGCCCCCACACTTGGGAAGGGTACAATAGACCGAAAACTTACTCCGAGAGGGAGGTTTTCCAAGTAGGGCCTGGGTTACCCCCGGCGCCGTCCGGGCAGTCGAACCCAGGATCCTACCCGCAACCGCCGATTAATCTGTCACAAGGACCAACTAACCAGCATTGGCTCGATATAACAGTGCCCAACGGAACAGTGATGTTAACCTGATTTGGGAGGAGGCTGCTGTGCACAAGGCATCAAGCCCAGTGCTAAAACAAGCCTACTATAAGAACTATAGCATGAATGGCTTGCACAGACTCATGTACAAGGGGAACCGGAGTGCCCGGAGAAAACCCCTTGGTCGGCATGGGAATTGACCCCATGACCACATTACACTGATAGTTCCCATTCCACCATCAATGACTAGCCAGTTTAACCACTTAGCCGAGGTGGAAACTGCGACGAAAAGGCCTATTAATCGGCGGTTAACCCTACCGCCGATCGCTGGTTAAATACCCTTCCCCGACTTTCGCTCGACTTGTCACACGCTTTGTGACATATGACCCTTAATAGGTGTGTTCTTTGTAGTATGGATGGTGACAATAACTTCTCAATAACTTCTGGGTGTAATAACTTCGTGCTCTACTGACTTCTATCACTAAGACAACAACCAGAGATGGTCAAAGATCCCTGGGAACTTCGGTCCTCAAGTACTTCGTTCTTCCCTAACTTCGCCAATGCAGAACTTTGTCCAACCCGAGTCCCCGAGCTTGGTACCTTGCAAACTTCGTCCCCGACAAAGATCGTACCTCCCTAATCTCGTACCTCCCTAACTTTGTATCTCACGAACTATGTATCTCACTGTCACAATCGTCGTTTCTTCTTCTCTGCTGACCGACGGTCGACAAACCTCGGCTAAATTCGTCGTAGTGGGGCGTCGATGTCTCACTAGGACAGGGTACTCTTCGGGGAACTACGGCTGACTTCGCCGTAGTAATACGTCGAGTGGTGAATGATAAGGTGATCGTCAATGAACTGCGGCTAACTTTGGCTAAGTGCGTCGAACTGCTCGGTGGTAGCTACTGAATATATCTCTCGCTACTGACAACAATCAAGGATTGCTGAAGAAGTTCAGCGATCTGTAAACTATCTATACTTCCTCTCTCTTCTCGTAGAACGTCCTCCAACCACTACACAGCCTCACTCTTGGTTCCCTTCGCTCAACTTCGCCGTATCTCGCCATATCCCCGATATCCTACTCCGCTTACTTCGACTAACCTCGCCTAACTTCGCTGTATTTCTGATCCCTTCATCCCTAGTCAACCTAACCCCGCCTACCTTCGTCGCACCTCGGTCCCCTTCACCCTTAACCTGTCTAACTTCGCCTAACTTCGTCATGGTTGGTCTCAGATGTCCTAGGATACGTGTAAACCGAAGAGGTCGAGAATTGATGGAGGTTTGATGGTCAAAAGAGGGTTGTTGTTGGTGGAATTTAGGGTTGTCATGACGTAGTTCGTGACACTCACTAACTTCTTATCTCACTAACTTCGTATCTTCCTAACTTCCTACATGACTAACTTCGTCCTTGACGAAGTTAGCCTACTAATACCCTCGTGGGTGGTGAAGTTCATAAGAACTGGATTGTTGGTGGCAAGCTGATGTCCAAAGGAACTTCGTTTGATGGGAAAGGATAATGTCACGCGGCGCCGTGTGACAGTGCTCGTCTAGTATCCTCTGCTGGACAAACTCTACTTGCTGGACGACGATGTGGTGGGCTCTGGATTGTTGATGAAAGTCCAGTGAGTCACACCTCCCCAACTCATCATGCACTCCATACCAAGGAAGTGGCTGATGCTCAAGATCCCTGTCTGATGGACTGGCACCAGAGACTTGGTCACTCAGACATGCGACGGATTTGGGAGCTTGGAGTTGCTGGTAAATTGGACAGATCAAAGTGGACCGGTGGATTCCGGAGAGTTGAATGCAAAAGCTGTCTCCTTGGCAAATCAACACAATCTGCATCATCTTCTAATACTCGTCAGGAGAGAAAGCCACTTGTTGGTGTGTCCCTTGACCTCTGGGGTCCAGCATCCACCCCTTCTTGCCTTGGTCACCGATACTATCTTGCATGTTATGATGATCACTCAAAATTCATTCACATTGAATTACTCAAAAACAAGCCTGATACCCTGACAGCGATACAAACCTACTCGGCACTTGTGGAGAATCAACTGGGTCGGAGTATAAAATCAATTCGATCCGATCAGGGCGGCGAGTATTCCAAGTTTAGCACTTATTCACTGGTGTCAAGAGAAGGGAGTTGAGAGGGTACTTGTACCCACAGAGGCTCATGACCAGAATGGCCGGGTAGAAAGGACACATCGAACATTACTAAACAACATCCGGACCTCTTTAGTGGACTCTCAGCTCCCAAAGATGTACTGGGCGGATGCGCTATCCTATGCCGTGTACACTCGTAACAGGATTCCTGGAAGGACAGGCTTGACACCTCTTGAAAAGTTTCATCCGGACATGAATCCCACAATAAATTTTGGCCATCTGCGGGTGTTTGGACAATCTTGTGTGTATTGGGTGCACAATGTACTATCCAAGCTAGAACCTCGAGGACAAGAGGGAAGGATAATTGGATATGTGATGGGATCAACTGCATACACAGTTCTCACCAAAGATTGTCGGGTGATAGTTTCAAGGGATGTTCATATCATCAGACAAAGTGGTCAATCAGAGTCACCTTACACACTGCAAACACCCCCTCAGGATAAACCTGCGTCCGGTATCCTCTATCCAACACTCACACCTCTTGCAAATGGAAATAATGGGGAGGGTGAAGAAGATGAGTACTCTGGCGAGGTTGAAGAGAATGAGGAGCAAGGGGAAGTGGAGGAGACTGAAGAGCAAGGGGAGGTTAACTCAGAACCTGAAGAACTGGGATCTCGACCAATGCAGGGCAGAGGTTGGTACTACAAACCTACTCGAGAAGGAGCACCCAGTCCAGAACCGGATCCAATGTATGCTCCAGAGGAGCCAAATCAGCACCTGAATCAGGTAAACTCTGGAACCACTTGTCCCCAAAGATCTCAACGACTAGCTGGAGGAGACCCATCACACGTTCAGCTATATGCACATGAAATCAACAAAGACATCATTGTCACAAGGACCAACTAACCAGCATTGGCTCGATATAACAGTGCCCAACGGAACAGTGATCTTAACCACTGCGACGAAAAGGCCTATTAATCGGCGGTTAACACTACCGCCGATCGCTGGTTAAATACCCTTCCCCGACTTTCGCTCAACTTGTCACACACTTTGTGACAATCATCTATCAGCATGCCTTTTCTGCTCAAACACTCACTGAACCACAATCTTATCAAGAAGCTCGCCAATCAGCCAAGTGGAGTAACTGGGAGGCGGCGATGGAAGAGGAAATGACCTAGATGGATAGATATGGTGTATGGGAAGCAGTACCAGAGGCTGGGCATAGAGCACTGTCAGGAAAGTGGGTATACACCCGCAAGTTGGATGGAGAGACTGGTAAACCAACAACTTACAAGGCGAGATTTGTAGTCCGCGCCTTTCAACAATTCCCTCGTCAAGACTATGATCAGCTGTTTGCCTCAGTTACCCACAAAGCCTCATTCCGAGTGTTCCTCTCAATCGTCAAACACCTTGACTGGGAATGCGACCACATGGACGTGATTGGAGCTTTCCTGAAGAGTCCAATAGATAAAGACATCTACATCAAACCGCGAGAAGGTAGCAACATCCCCGCCGGCTTTGTCCTCCACTTGCGCAAGTCACTGTATGGTCTGAAGCAGTCCCCTCATCTATTCAACAAGAAGCTCGACTCTTTCTTCCGTCACCTTGGGTTCACACCATGTCTAGCAGATCCATGTATCTATTCATTCAACGAACGAGGTGTCCGTCTCATGATCTCAATACATGTAGATGACATGCTGGTTGCAGGGAATACTGGAGCGGCTCTTGACTCCCTCAAGCTGAAAATACACATTGAGTTGGAGTGCAAGGACCAGGGACCTGTATCATACTTCCTTGGAATCAATATCTACCGAAATCGATCAAAGAGAAAAATGTATCTCTCACAGGAGCACTACATCGAGGCAGTACTCTCAAGGTTTGGAGAGATTGGCAAGCCACGCAAGACCATCCTCCCAAGCGACACCAAATTAGTAGAAGCAACACCTTCCGAGATCCAAGATGCTAAGGATAAACCATTCCCTGCGCTTGCAGGTTCAATTCTCTACATCGCAACTATCACGCAACCTGACATTGCATTTGCCGCTGCTCTCCTTTGCCGCTTCATCAGCAAGTGGTCTCTTACCCATTGGCAAGCAGCCAAGCATCTCTTGCGATATCTGAGGGGTACAGCTGATCTTGCACTCACATTTGATGCGACAGCGGGCAGGAGAACACTTCTTGGGTGGGCAGATGCAGACTGGGGAGGATGTTTGGATACCCGAAGATCGACCACTGGCTATGTGTTCAGCACCTATGGGGGAATAGTATCCTGGAAGCGCCGACGTCAACCAACTGTTGCCCTTTCAACTACTCAAGCAGAGCTACTGGCATCAACAGAGGCAGGGAAGGAAGCTATCTGGCTTCGACAACTTTTAGCAGATCTACAACTAGGCCCAACAGATAGAGAACCTGTCCAGATTTTCAATGACAACAGCGGCGCTATACAGCTGGCAAAGCATCAACATGGATTCAAGTTGAATAAAGTGTTTGACATGCAAGCTCAATGGATCAGAGAACATCAAGACGCACGGATTATCCGTCTTGACTACACGGATGCTTTATCCCCTTGAGCCGACATGCTCGCCAAGCCAGTGACAGCAGAACACACAAGACAACTCCGTGATCTTCTTGGAGTCAGGAGTAGGGAGGCCAGGAGCATGTCATGTTCATGAGGGGAGGCGTTGGAGACTAGACACTCACGTGACCGAAACTCCTGGCATACATAGCAACTGAATTGAGCCTGTTGTCTTCTCATCACTTTTAAGTTAGTGCTGAGCAGACAACAGGTGACGGAATCGAGTCCGTCGCATACACGGCTAATCCGTGCGGTACTGGATTTTATGAAACATTTGCCTTCAATACATAGTACTTGTAAGCAGCGCCGTCCGCCGGTTGGAAAGTCAGCTAGTTTACGAAGTTGTCCTGTACGGGTCCCCGGTCGGGCGGCGCGCCACTTGCTTCAAGTTTGGACCACTGCCCCCTCGGGGATCTGGGTTTTGAGACAGAGGGAAGAGGCAGTGTCATACAAAGGTGAGAACTTGACTAAGCATCAAGTGAAAGAGGTTAGATATGCAGTGCAGGATAGAGGAAAGGGGGACAACTTCCTTTGATCCGTAAATTTTGGTCTCCGCTCAGTGGCAATGCAAAAGAGGAAGAGGACGGTTAAGGCAGGATTATATAAGCCATGTAGTGTGGTTGAATCTGTCCCATCATCTTTCCCTTCGTCTAGCCATACTCAACAAGTGATAGAGACCCTTGAGGTATCATACATACACAGTACTATTACATCTATCATGGAGCCGCAGCCTATGATGAGTGTGCCCGAAGGGTCCAAACTACTCTACTCCTCTATCTCCACCAACAAACGGCCCTCGAATGAGGATATACTTAGTATTGTCATTGATTCAGACCACAAGGGGGGAGGGGACATATGGTGCTCAGTCAGGGAGGATTCAACTCACCAAGGGCTTGTAGCCTTAAGGTCACAGTTTCTGCAGAAGTACATGGCAGCATGTGACTCCCTGAATGACCTTCAAGAAACTGATCGTTTGACCACCCTCGTGGCCAGAGCGCACAATGCAGCAACACAAATTTCCTTTGATGCGGACTTACTGTGGTCGAAGTGTGAAATTGAAGTGTTTGTGACCACTGAGGCGATCAGGGCAAGCCCTCATATTGAGAAGACTCTGGAACATTTGTCCCAAGAGCCTCCGTCTTATGAGGAGGCCATTGCAGGTCGCAAAAGTGCTGGCAATCCCACCAGCTCTGTAGGCTTGCCAAAGAAGAAGGCCCTACCCGGTAGTGTTTATGCCTCTTGTTCGGCTCCCCACACCATACCATCCCTTGACAACACATACATGATCATAATTGTTAAGAACCCAGAAGAATTCTCTGGGAAAGGGCATAGTTGGATCCCACTCCATCTAAGCCCCATCATATACAAAGGCAGAGAGCCCACTGAAATTGAAGGAAAGGTGGAGCATAGGTACAAAGAGGAGTATTCCCGGCTGAGAAGCCAGCCTGATAGGCCTAGTGCCTCAACCGTAGATGGACTCATGGAGTTTGCCAAACGTGTGGCAGCGCAGGTGGAATTGAGTGGTGAGCTGGAAGGAGGTGGAGTGGTTGTGCGCGCTTCCAAGGACGCACAGGAGGCTAGTAAGGCAGTCCAAGAAGCCGTGGAAGAGTGGGCGCGTGAACATACCGTTCCAATCCTAACGAAGATGAATCCATCGTCACCTCCACGGTGGTTTTCATTCTATGGGGTTCCAAGAAGCCAAGAGGCAGACAATGAAAAATCTACCATTACTGATGAGAACCTACATTATGTGATTCTTGAAGGGCACGGCTCCGGGTACAAAGCGGTATACTATAATCTGATTTATGATGGAGACCACATTCACACAGGACATGTGTCAACAATCATGAACGGATACAGAAAGGCGTACGATGAGATAAGCCGGCTTCAGTGGACAACAATGACAGATGCAGACTCCTATGTGACTCTCCTTGATGAAGCAGCAAAACAAGTGGAACATCAACTTCCTCCCGGCTATGGACTCGTGGTAGGTGTTTCAAGTGGGGTTGCAGAGGCAAGTGAATACATCATGTCACGAGTCAAAGCCTGCTTCGAGGTGCAGGAGTCTCATCAGAAGAGGCAAATCTCAATGACAGCATTGGAGTCGCCTAGCACCAGCAATTGGGCAGGTAAGAACAAGTTGTACCCTCTATGGAGATTTTCAGGTGGCGGAAGATCTTAGTTTTACGCAGAAGCAATGACCCAAAGCAGTTCCATGGACCTCCACGGATCAGGGTAGAGGAGAGCGAGAACCGGAGGCAGTGCTGCAATCAGGTAGGGACGGGTTTTCCCCTTTCGAGTTTTCCCCACTGGGTTTGCTCAAAGGGGTTTTTCACCTGTCCAAGTATGTACGTAGACACTTGCAGCAGGGGGGAGGAGACACAGACACCTGTAGACAGTATGTAGTACATGCCATGAACGATATCCAACAACCCCTGACAACCACCATCATTAACCCTCTATTCATCATCAACCACCACAACCCCAAATCACTGAGACCAACTACAGCGAAGTTATGAGAACCTAGGCAGTATTAGTCACAACAATCCCGCCTAGGGGAGAACTACCGCAAAGTCAGGAGAAGAAGATCAAGGGATACAGAGTGGAAGTAAGTAAAAGCACGGTGGACTGCGGTGGAGTGAGTGGAGTAGGATATTGGGGATATGGCAAACTACAGCAAGGTTGGATGAAGGAGGACTGAGCGCAGGGCAGTGTGTCACAAAGGATGTGACAAGTAGAGAAAAAGTTGGGGAAGAGTATTTAAGCAGCAATCAGTGGTAGGGTTAACCGCCAATCAATAGGCCTTTATGTCACAGTGGGTTTAGATGTCCTGAACACTGTCACGTTGGGCACTGTAATACCAAGCCAATGCTGGTTAGTTGGTCCTCGTGACACAGTGCAGGAGTTGAGAGATCTTCTACAAGAGGAGCAGAGGAGTATGGATAGTTTACAGATCACTGAACTCCTTCAGTGATCCTTGATTGTTGTCAGTAGCAAGAGATATGTTCAGTAGCTATTGAGTTAGGAGAGCTACCAACAAGCAGTTCCACACACTATGGTGAAGTTAGCCGCAGTTCCTCGACGATTACCTTATTGTTTACCACCAGAGGTACAGTGGGGTGCGGGAAAGGATCGAACAAAAAGTCACCCATTTTAGCTGCTAAAATCCACACTGCTACTTCCTTCCTCTATAACTTTCTCTTTATCATATGTGTGCATACCTTACATAGTGAGGTCATAATACCAACTCTTCTCTACCAATACATTGCTCTCAGGGTGTGAGTTTGATATGTAAGATGGCAACATACATGACTTGAAGAGCGGGAGGTTTTTGGTCAAAAATGGCTCTCCCCACCCAAAGTTGATGGAGTACATCCTCTTTTGAGGTCAGCTGACTCGCTACTCTCAGTATACATCATACCCTCCAATATACTCTTTCTAATCTCCATGGATTGAGGTACAACTTTTACTTGTACAACACACATCTACCTGTTACTTGCAGAGAGCCGTTGCGTTCCAAATACACACACCAGATTTTGAGGGGTGGAGCAGAGGAAGGGCTGTAGAAGGAGCAAGACTCCGTTCCCAGATGTCCACGTCATATGTCAATTTTTACATTGACAGATAGACAGTGAGTAAGTTCATGGTCCTGAGAAGTTAAACGTCTCTATGATCAGCCGTGCATGAGTTATTGTCAATGTCAGACAGACAGCATAAACGCACGGTTTTGATGCGTGTTCGATCCTTTCCCGCACCCCACTGTATTATTACTACAACATAGTTAGCCACAGTTTCCCCAAGGAGTGCCCTGTCCCTGTGAGACATTGACGCCCAGTTCAACATAGTTAGCCGAGGTTTGCCAACTGTTGGTCAGTGGAGAAGAAGAGATGATGTTTGAGACAGTACAATCAGCAAAGCACCTGTCACAGGGCTGAATCCTTGTTTACTTCCTATGACCAACGGGCAATAAGTTTGTGGGCAACAACTTGCACAAGACTTGTTCTTGGAGATATGAATAGGTGACAATAACTTCTGGGTGTAATCATTTGTGCTCTACTAACTTCTGTTACTAAGACAACAACCAGAGATTGTCAAAGATCTCTGGGAACATTGGCCCTTGAGTACTTCATTCCTCCCTAAGTTTGTGTCGGCAGAACTTTGTGCAACCCGAGGTCCAAGCTTTGTACCTTGCAAACATTGTCCCCAACAAAGTACGTGCTTCACTGACTTTGTACCTGTCACGACCCTGTAAAGTCATGACCCGTGATTCAGGGATTGTCCGGCATTTCATATGATTTCATACAATTTCACACGAGTTCACTTGAATCCATACGAAAAGAGCACAAATTCATCTGAAATGACCATGAATTCACATGAACTCCTACGAAATAACCCAAAATCATATGAATAGTTTGCCCTGTCCACACCATCACATACACCCTTATTGTCATCTTGACCTGCCCAAATTCTTTGCAAGTCACTTAGTTGTCCAAACATACCTGTCACGACCCTGCAACCTCAGTCGTGACATCAGGTTATAACCGGATCGCAATCATAGGGCTGATTGCGATATTGTGCCTTTTAGTGCAGTGGCATAAGATGTCACATGCATGGCCAGTGTATGGCCCGGTGCTGGTCAGCCAGGTTGTAACAGAATATTGCAATCAAACAGTAGCAGGTTCAATCCCCACTGTCACAAACTACGTCGTGACACCCCTAAATCCCACCAACAACGACCCTCCTTTGACCATCAAACCTCCATCAATTCTCGACCTCTTTGGTTTACACGTATCCTAGGACATCTTAGACCAACCACGACAAAGTTAGGCAAAGTTAGACAGATTAAGGGTGAAGGGAACCGAGGTGTGACGAGGTTAGGCGAAGTTAGGTTGACTAGGGATGGAGGAAGCAGAGGCACGGCGAAGTTAGACGAGGTTAGAGGATCGGGTGTTCGGTGGTTCGGGGAAGTTGGCCGAAGTGCGTCGAAGCGCGGATGGGTTGGATGAACATCTAGGAGTGGTGGATACTATTAGCTGAGAAGATCGCTGAAGTTCTTCAGCGATCCTTGATTGTTGTCAGTAGTGAAAGATTGATAGAGATAGCTACCATACAAACGAGATACATCGCCATCAGAGAAAAACCCCAGATAGAGTAACTACGCCAAAGCTCGCCGTAGTTACACTTCTTTCGACGTCTACGCCCTCCTGGTTGGGTGATACATCGAGTTAGAACCACCAAGTTAGCCGAGGTTCGTCGACCGTCGGTCTATTGGAAACAAGTTATTTGACGGCCGTGACAGTATCAAGGATCGCTCTTACCGACGACCTGCGCGAACCTCGGAGAAGTACAAGGAAAGATGGACTCGGAAAGGCAAACCACGCGAAGTTTGAGCAGGGACAGGGAAGCGGAGGAGAATGAAAGGAAGGCATTGGAGGAGCTTAGTAGGGCGATGGGACAGCAACTGGGAGGAGAAGATAATACTGGAGGGTCAGTACTAGGAGATGAGTTCGTTCCACCCGTACCTTCTAATCCTCTTACCCCTCCACTTAATCCTCTCATACCTGTGGGGTCACCAAATGGGTCAGATCAAACCCCACGCCCAGGAGAGAATACCGGAGGAGGGACGAACTTCGGAGAAGAAGGGACACAGGGGATGATGTTGGCTATGATGAAGTTGATGGCGGATATGAACAGAGAGATGGCAGCCGAGAGAAGACGTAGGGAAGAATGGGAACAGAGGAGAGAGAGAGAGACAGTTGGGGGAATTGCAGAGGGAATATCAGAAGGGGTGAGGTACGCCTTGGGACGCCAAACTTCGGCGACCCCAAGCGTAGTTAGCGAGAGAAAAGGGATAAAGTTGCCTAACCCAGACCTCTGGAGAGGAGACCGACACAAATTAACCGCCTTCCTGTCCGAATGTGAAGTACACTTCGAATTGAACTCCCACCTTTTCCCCGACGACACTAGGAAGGTGTTCTTCATGATCTCCCATTTGCGCGAAACACCTCTCCTTGCGGTTCAGCCTAACCTGGCTAAAAGGCCTCTTCCTGATTACCTCACGGTATACGAACAGTTTGTCAGGTACCTCAAGACAAACTTTGGTGACCCCGATGAAGAAGGAACGGCGGCGCGGTTCTTGAATGATCTCAAACAAACCGGCTCAGCATCGGAGTATTTCTCTGCCTTTCAACGACATGTCGCAATTCTCAAGTGGACTGACGACGGCAACCTGGTCGACAGGGCCAAGAAGGGGCTAAAATTGCACCTACTAGATGAGATCGCAAGTCATGGGCGGTCGTTTGGGACTGTTAAAGAGTTATTGGAGTTCATCATTCCCTTGGACAATCGTCTGTGGAGGAGGAAGGTAGAGAAAGACATGGAAAGGAAGAAAGAAACGGGGGTCAAGGAAGTGGTAGTGGTGGATAGTCAGAGGGTGGAAAGGAAAGAGGAGAAGAGAGGGGAAGGGAGGCAAACTTCGGCGCAGCCTGCGGTGCAAGCGACTATTACGTCGACGCAGGTCAAGACCATTCCGTCGGATGCCGACGAACTTCGCCGACAATGGCCTAGGCCACCTCCCGAGCTGAGGGAGGCAAGGAAGAAGGAAGGGAAGTGTACTGAGTGCGGGGAGAAGGGACATTGGTTGAAGGACTGCCCGGTGAGGGCAGCGAAGGTAAAAGTTGGATGGTTGCCTCCGTGGGGGGAGAAGTTCGGCGAACATGGTGGAGCATCGGGGGGTAACGCGGTACCTCTTGGACAGAGGAGGAACCTGAACGCGGTAACAGGAGAATGGGAAGGAGAAGAGGAGCAGGGAAAAGACGAGGACCTGTTGCTGTAGGCGAGGCTCGGCGGGTCCGCCATATTCTCTCGGCCACCATTCCTAAGACCAGAAAAGAGACACAGCTGATGAAGCCAGAGGATTGTGAATACAAAAATACACCACTCAGTACCCCTTGTTTATGCAACATCGATAGTCACCTTCTTATCCCTTCCACTTCAAAAGACCAACCAAAAACAGACATTTTTATCAATGGGACCAAACTAACCACGCTCTGGGACACTGGGGCTACTTGTTCATATATCAGCCCCGGGGCAGCGGCGAAGATAGGCGTGGAAAGGAGACGATACCCGGTGAGCGTACCCGTTCACATGTTTGATGGCTCAGTTAGTGTCGCTGGATGTCACGAGACATACTGACCAGCATATGCACGATATAACAGTGCCCAACGGAACAGTGATGTTAACCACTGCGACGAAAAGGCCTATTAATCGGCGGTTAACTCTACCGCCGATCGCTGGTTAAATACCCTTCCCCGACTTTCGCTCGACTTGTCACACACTTTGTGACACTAGACCTATTACCGAGTTCGTCGAAGTTATGTTTGGTTTGAAGAAGGACGCCAAAGGGCGATCTGTTCGTCTAGATGTGACTACTCTCTGCGATGCAGACGTAGTGATAGGGTGGGATTGGATGAGGAGAGAAGGTGTTATTCTTGATGGAAAGGATAATGCGGTGAAATTTCCCATCCCAACCCCACCACCACCACCAAGTTCGGCGAGGTTGGCGGCCATAGGGCTACCAACTCCGACGGACGCGATAGACCTACGAGACAAAGATGACCAGGATGAGCTGAGTCCGGAGGAACAGGAAGAGCTGTATCAGGTTGTTCCTGAACAATACCACTCGTTCATTGATGTTTTTAACCCGAGGAAGGGAGGTGAAGAATTACCCCCTTCTAGGGAATATGACCTGAAGTTTGATCTGAAGGAGGGGGCGAGCTTGAAAGTGGCTCCCCTCTATTCTCTTGGAGAAGATCAGAGAAGTGCGCTGAGAGACATTCTAGATCGCGAAATATCGGCCGGCAGAATCCGACCGTGTGATTTGCCGTATGGATCACCAATGTTCTTGGTACCGAAGAAAGCAAAAGGTCAATGGCGAATGGTCATTGACTACCGAAAGTTAAACGAAGCGACGATACCGGACGCCTACCCACTACCTCTGATTGGGCAGATAACCGAGGGACTGGGAAAGGCTAGGTACTTCAGCAAGCTAGACCTAATTGGAGCGTATCAACTTCTGTGTCACGCGGCGCCGCGTGACATCATCCTTTTCCCATCAAACAAAGTTCCTTTGGACATCAGTTCGCCATCAACGACCCAGTTCTCATGAACTTCATCACCCACCAGGGTATTAGGAGGCTAACTTCGTCGAGGACGAAGTTAGTCATGTAGGAGGTTGGTGAGATACGAAGTTAGTCATGTAGGAGGTTAGTGAGATACGAAGTTAGTGAGATACGAAGTTAGTGAGATACAAAGTTAGTGAGATACAAAGTTAGTGAGATACAAAGTTAGTGAGATACGAAGTTAGTGAGATACGAAGTTAGGGAGATACGAGATTAGGGAGGCACGAACTTCGTCGGGGACGAAGTTTGCGAGGTACGAAGCTCGGGGACTCGGGTTGAACGATGTTCTGCATTGGCGTAGTTAGGGAAGAACGAAGTACTTAAGGACCGAAATTCCCAGGAATCTTTGACGATCTCTGGTTGTTGTCTTAGTGATAGAAGTTAGTAGACTACGAAGTTATTACACTCAGAAGTTATTGTCACCACCATACTACGAAGAACAAGTCTATTAAGTGTCATAGCCCACGAAGTTCTTGGCCGTCGGTCCTAGGAAAACGAAGGAAGAACCAACCCTGTGACATTCTGCGAATAAAGGAAGGGCACGAACACCTGACGGCATTCAGGACTCAATACGGTATGTTCGAGTCTCTTGTTGTTTGGGACGGCTTGCGAAATGCTCCTGCTGTGTTCCAGCACTTCCTGAATGAAAGTTTCCGAGAGCTACTGGGAAAAGGAGTAGTTGTCTACATAGATGACATACTCATCTATGGTCAGACGTTGGAAGAACTGAGGGGAACTACGGCAAAGGTGTTCGAAGTTCTGCGAAGGTCAAATTTGTTCGTAAAAGCTAGTAAGTGCGAGTTTGAAAGAGATTCGGTAGTCTTTCTGGGATTTGTGGTGTCACAAGAAGGAGTCTCCAGTAATCCGGAGTACATTGATGCCGTCGTATCTTTTCCCCACCCAAAGAACCTAAGGGAGAGTCGAGGATTCATGGGGGTAGTCGGCTATCATCGTCGTTTTGTCCCCAACTTCTCCAGACTTGCTAAGCCGATCAACGATCTCACCAGGAAGGATGTGCTGTTTGTTTGGGGAGTAGAGCAGGAAAGAGCCTTTAAGGAATTGAAGGATAGAATGTGTAGGGCTCCGGTATTGGCTCACTTTGATCCCTCGTTGGAGACCTTACTACAGACAGATGTGTCGTTCTTTGGCTGGGGTTTCATAATATCGCAGGTAAACGAGCTAGGGCAGGACCACCCGGTGGCTATCGAGTCCGGAGCGTTCCAAGCGGCACAGTTAAACTATACGGTAGGAGAGAAAGAATTGCTGGCTATCGTTGAGGTGTTCAGGAGAAGGAGACACTTACTGTTACAGGTCGAGACTACAGTTCTCACGGACCATTTGAACCTGACCTATTGGATGGAACCAAAACAGCTAAGCCCTAGGCAGGGCAGGTGGGTCGAAGAGCTCTCTAACTTCAGGTTTAAAATGGTATATCGGCCTGGGAAACAGGCTACGCTACCAGATGGGCTTTCAAGGAGAGCCGACTACCATTCGGGGAAGGGAAGCACGATGGTGCAGGAGAGTAACCTTATCCAAGGTTTGCCGAAGTTCGACAAGGCTGATCAGACTACGTCTGGTTTACAACACCTTCTTCGAGCTTTGCAAGGAACTAAAGAGCTGAAAGACAGTGATTTAATCGGACCGGTAGATCTCGTTGAAGGACAGAAGGCAGAACAGGAGATAGAGGAAGTCAGAGCGGAGATGCTTGGCGTAATATGCGCTGAGTGTTCTCACGATACCTGTTGAGATAACGTACAGGAACCCAGGTCAGTGACCGAACTTCGGCGGAGTTCGCGGTCACCACTAATACTTCGAGCCGGTTGGTCAGCAAAGGGTTTATTTACATTCGATAGTCGAATATATGTGCCGAACTACGCCGATGCTCGGCTTAAGATTATGAAGGCTCGGCATGACTCGATTCTGGCTGGACATCCTGGGGTAGCCAAAACCCTAGAGTTGGTCCTGAGGGATTATGTCTGGGTAGGTGTTCGTAAAGATGTTGAGGACTACGTTGGTGGCTGTGCTGTATGCCAGAGAGCTAAAACGAACCGACAGAAGCCGCATGGTGAGCTTAAACCACTTCAAGTTGCGACCAAACCATGGTCCAGCATATCTATGGACTTCATCGAAGAATTACAAAATTCTCGGGGATACAACTCCATCCTGGTGGTGGTCCACCGGTTGACCAAATGGGCAGTTTTTATCCCAACTACGACAAAGTTAACCGCAGCTGGACTATCAGAGCTGATAATGGACTTTGTGGTAGCCCAGCATGGGTTACCAGAGAGTATAGTATCGGATAGAGGGTCGAAGTTTACTTCGAAGTTTTGGAAGAACTTGACCGATAGTCTCGGGATAAGACTACATCTCTCTACCGCGTATCATCCACAGACTGATGGACAGACCGAACGAACCAATCAATCCCTGGAGTTATACCTTCGAATCTTCACTTCCTATCAGCAGATCGACTGGTCGAAGCTACTTGGACGGGCTTCGCCTACAACAACACCCATCACTCCGCGATAGATAAGACTCCATTTTATGCGAACTACAGGTACCATCCTCGGTGGGCTGAAGAAATCAAGACTAGTGATGTCGAAGTACCTGCTGCTACAATGGTGGTCAGGGATTTGACGGAGATACATAAAGAATGTAAGGAAGGAATCGAGAAGGCCAATGAGAAGTACGCCGAAGGATATAATAGGAAACACTGAACTACGCCGAACTTCGCGGAAGGTGACCTAGTTATGCTGTCGTTCGAGAATATTAAGACCAAAAGACCGATGAAGAAGCTGGATGTTAAACAAAGTGGGCCGTACAAGGTAGTACGGCAGGTAGGTTCTCATGCGTGTAAACTAGAGCTACCAGGAACGATGGCAGGTATCCATGATGTATTCCATGTTTCATTACTCCGCCCTTATCACCCTCCAGCGTTCCCTGGTCAGCAGGCTGAGTGTAACGGTACTGGAAACACGATGACTAGGTCGCAGGTTGGGTCGAACTCGATGGAAGTCTCGTAGGAATCTATGTGTCTTTGGTGCTATGTGATGGATTGTGTCTCCTCTGCAATTGATGTAGCCAAAGAATGATATTGAAGAATCAGCAAAGTTGGTACTTTGCTGATTGCACTATATACTATCTACAAGAGTCCGCGGCCTCCTCTCAGTCCTACTGCAAGCGTCTATGTACATACTCGGACAGGTGAAAAACCGCTTTTGAGCAAACCCAGTGGGGAAATCTCGAAAAGGGAAAACCCGTCCCTACCTACTGCAGCACTGCCTCCAACTCTCGCCGTTCTCTTTCCTAATCTGTCGAACTCGATGGAGTTCTCTCGATTCGTTGTTACTCCGTAACAAGTTTCCCCCCCTGTCTCAAGGATCCTCGCCGAGGATCCTGAAACCTGTAACCAAGTGATTCACATGGATTGTTCTGAGACACCTTTGGTGCGCCCTGACCTCACACCTACGCTAGTGTGACGGTCGCCATGAAACGCGTCACCCGCACGGACCTCCAATGTGATCGAGAAATTACTGACCAAGTCTCTTTCCCACCTCTCTCTCTTCTTTCCTCCTCATTCCTTCTTTTTCTCTTGTTCGTCGTTCTTTTTACTCATCTATCATTATCCATCCATATCTTACTTATCTCTCAGAGTATCCTTCCAACTCTGACCTGCCTGTGAGCATGTCTAAGCGTACTGTAAGCAATTCCTTTCGAATTCGATGTATATCCTCCCATTTCTCACTGGCTGACGAGATTAGTTGTCTCCTTCTACCCCCTCCCGCCGAACTTGAGCATCTACTACGGCCATCCTACCTGACGTGGACCCCGAGCTTCTCATGCGTCAAACGAAAAGAATGAGAATTACTTCCCAAGCGCCTGTTCTCTCTCAACCTCCATTGGTTGATGCGTCTCGAAGAGCTCTCAACACCATTAAGGATCGATATCAATCCGGTCCTTCTCGCGATCAACAATCGTCCCTTCTTGATGACGAGGTCATCGAGCAATATATCCACTTCGAAGGGGGTGCTGGACCATCTGCCACTGGTGAGAACCCATCTCCCGCCAAGTCCGTTGAATCCGAACACGGCACCATCGTTGAGAATCAAAATTCTCCTGGTAATAAGTCCTGTGCCACTGTCACGGGCGTCGAACAACTATCTTCTGGCAGACCGACGGTCGACGAACCTCGGCTAACTTGATGCTCCTGAGTCGAAGTCTCACCCAACCGAGAGGGCGCAGACGTCGAAAGGAGTGTAACTACGGCGTACTTCGGCGTAGTTACTCTGACTGGGGTTTTGTTCTACTGATGGCGATGTATCTCGAATTGTATATAGCTATCTCTATCTGCTTTTCACTACTGACAACAATCAAGGATCGCTGAAGAACTTCAGCGATCTTCTCAGCTAATATTATCTACTCCTCCTAGACGTTCATCCAACCCTCTCGCGCTTTGACGTACTTCAACGCACTTCGTCCAACTTCCCCGAGCCCTCGGCCATCCTCTTCCTCCTTCGACTAACTCCGCCTAACATCGCCGCACTTCTGCTCCCATTGTCCCTACTTAGCCTAACTCCGTCTAACTTCGCCGTACTTCTGCTCCCATTGTCCCTACTTAGACTAACTCCGCCTAACATCGCCGCACTTCTGCTCCCATTGTCCCTACTTAGCCTAACTCCGTCTAACTTCGCCGTACTTCTGCTCCCATTGTTCCTACTTAGCCTAACTCCGTCTAACTTCGCCGTACTTCTGCTCCCATTGTCCCTACTTAGCCTAGCTCCGTCTAACTTCGCCGTACTTCTGCTCCCATTGTCCCTACTTAGCCTAGCTCCGTCTAACTTCGCCGTACTTGGTGTCAGAAGTCCTGAGTTACGTGTAGAGTAAAGAGGTTAAGGCGTGATGGGGTTTTGATGGCCAAAGGAGGGTCATTGTTGGTGGAGTAATCGAGGTGTCGCGACGTAGTTCGTGACAGCCACCTTCTGATTATTCAGAGGGACTTGTCGAGGTTCCCCATGAACTTGAAATCATTTTTCACGCCCCTCGTAAGGTTCCGGTCAATGATGAACTGGTTAAGGTTCTGGACGCTCGAAAAGACTCGGAAATTGGTGAGATTCCTATAGAATTCTGTGCGTTTCTGACCCGTCAGCTACTCTCTGGGCCAAAATGACCTTCTCATCTGTTCGTACGGCTCTGAAAGACGAAGCCCTCGATCGTTTTCGCGAGACTGGCGCCATCAATCCTACTGTTCAGTGGTTTAGGAATGCTGTGAGTTGTTTCTCTTCCGAATTCTACCAATTTCTCACTGTTAGCTCGATCGTTTGGCCCAAGGTTGGCGACTTCGCAACAAGAATGGTGCTGTTGTTCGTCTCGAGGGTGAGCTTTGCTCCGATTGCCAGCGTCGCCTTGATGGTGGGGAAGATTTTTGTATGGGTTGTATTGGTCCTCGTGAGTCTTCCTACTTTACTTGTTTGATATTGATGCAATTTAGTTGGTGGTGTTTGTGGAGAGTGCTCTGCAAAGGGAACTTCAAAGTGTTCGGTGAAAACCAACAATCCCGAGTCCAAATTTCGCGAGGTATCTATCTTCTTCCTTTGAACTTGATCGATGTTGATGTAAAGGGTATTACTGTCGGAGCCCAGACTGTCACTTCCAAGGTTACCTTCTTCTTGGAGCACGAACTCTGTGCTGTCTCGGCCCGATATCGATCCCTCTCTTCCCAGGATCAATCCTCTTCCCTTACCCAACTCTCCGCTTACATTCATCTTTTCTCCTCCCTCCTCCTTCCTCTTCCCCCAGTACATCTGGGTCTCTACAAATCTCTCCATCTCATTCCTTCCGATTATACTCCTCCCTCTCCCTCCGAAACCTTGGATCATCTCACCTCCTCTGGTGATCCTACTGGATTGAGTTCCTCTCAGCCAGTCGCCGGTCCCTCCTCTTCTCCCCATACTCCTCTCCCCCGCAATGTCATTCGTATTCCCGCTTCGGCCCGTCGTCCTCGAGCTAATTCTACCGCCTCCAACTTCTAGTGTGTTTATGTTTCTCTGTTTGTAGCTATATTTCCTGTGTATGCATTCATTTCCGACCCAGTTTTGTTGATCTTGATCGAATTCTCACTTTCTTCTGGGGCCCCTTTTCCTCTTTTTCAGAAATTCACCAAAAACGGCCAACTCCTCTACATTTTCTCGTGGTTCCCAGTCATAGGCCGCATTCCCTGTGTATCCTAACCATTTTACCTTGAATTCTTCCTTTCCTCGTCGAATTCTGCTGTCCACAATCGCTTCCACATGGAATTCCTCCTGGCCGTTTATTACTACAGGTGGTGGAGGTTGTATCTGTCGACCTGGTATCATGTCCCTAGGATATGGTTCCAACAGCGTGACATTGAAGACATTGTGCACTTTCATTGATGGAGGTAGATCCAATTCGAAAGCATTTTTTCCAACCTTCCTTATGATCTTAAAAGGGCCAATGTATTTTGCTTCTAATTTTTGACTGGGTCGTTCCGTCGTAAGATACTTTGTACTCAGTAGTGCCTGTTCTCCCTCTCTGAATTCTTCTGGAATGTTTTTGTGCCTCCTGTTGTAATATTCCCCACTAATTTCGTTAGCCATCCTGACTTGTTCTTGAACAGCTGTATGTAACTCTCCCATATCTTTCCACTTTTTCTCCAATTTGTTCGACTTTGATCGGATGTCGTGCGCATGGATGTCGTAGTGTGGCACATAGCCGTAACATGCTTCGAATGGACACAAACCGTGACTACTATGTGGAGAGCAGTTGTAAGCAAACTCGGCAATTGGTAGAAGTTGATCCCAATTGTCCATGTTGTAGTTCACATACATCCCGAGTAGGATTTCCATCTGTTGATTTACTCATTCAGTCTGTCCGTCTGTTTGGGGATGATATGCAGTTGAATATAGGTTTTTCATTCCCAGGAATTGACATATCTCCTTCCAAATCTCAGCTGTAAATTGAGTTCCCCTGTCTGATACAATTGTTCGAGGTACTCCATGCTTTGAAAAGATCTCCTTGATGTATATGTCAGCCACCTTGTTTGCTGTTAGTCCGGTTGTACATGGAATAAATCGAGCCATCTTGGTTAGTCAATCGACTATCACTAGAATTGCGTCAAACTCGGTCAATTTTGGTAGGGGTCCCACCATGTCCATAGAGATATCTGTCCACGGGAGTGTGGGTACTGGTAAAGAGACTAGATGTCCATACGGCTGATGTCGATGAGTCTTATGTCGGTTACAGATCTCACATCCTTTTACGTATTTCGCAATATATTCGTCCAAATGTGGCCAGTAATAATCCTCTTTGACTAAAGTGATAGTTTTATCTCTTCCTGGGTGTCCTACTAATACCGAATTGTGTCTTGCTTTCATTACTTCTAATCTTGCTTGTCCCTCTGGTATGACTACTCTGTTTTTGTACAAGAGTAATCCGCTTTGTGTCCATGATACTATTGGTGTCTCGTTGCTAATCTGTGTCTTCTGTGTGTCCTGTGTGCTCTGTGTGTCCTGTGTGCTCTGCGTGTTCTGTGTGCTAAGTGTCTGTGTCATTTGTAGTCCTAGTCGTCGTATGTTTGCTATGTCTTCTGAGTCTTTCAGTCCGTTTTTGATGAGTCCAAATAATGAGTCTTCCCGGATTGCTCCTCTTACTATGTGTCTGGCTTCTGAGTCTATCGAATTCAATCCACTTTGCTTGTATGTTGGTAGCAATTGTAGCCACTTACCTTTGTTTAGGTCTGGGTCCTTACTACTCCCTCTTCCCGGGTGATAATCCCCTCTTCTAGTTAAAGCATCTGCTCCCCCATTTTTACTACCTGGTCGATAAGTGATCTCTATGTTGAAGTCTCCTAATATTTCCAACCACCTCATTTGTCTTCGATTCAGTTGTCGTTTACTTTGGAAGTATTCCAGGTTCTTGTGATCCGTGATGACTTTTATGACATCACTACTGTTGGCCAAGTATGGTCTCCATGCTACCAAGCAGTCCACAATGGCTAGCAGTTCCTTCTCCCCCACTGTGTAGTTTAATTCGCAGGGTGTCATTGCTCGAGACCAATAGGCAACCGGATGGAGTTCCGTGGTACCTTTTATTGATGGGTGAGCAAATCTTTGAGACGCTATTGCACCTATTGCACAGTCAGATCCATCGGTTTCGATTCAGGTTGGTCGGGTTCTGTCGAAATGTCGAAGTACTGGTGCGGTGGTGAAGGTTTTCTTTAAGTCGTCAAAAGCCTTTTGACACTCCTCTGTCCAGTTCCAAGCCTGATCCTTCCTGGTTAGACGGGTAAGAGGACCCACAATATGTGAGAACCCTTTGATGAATCGTCAATAGAAATTGGCAAATCCTAGGAAAACCTGGGTATCTCGGACTGTCATGGGTTCTCCCCATTCTAGAATGGCTTTCACCTTTTCTTGATCCATTTCGATTTGTTCGTGTCCGATTACATACCCCAAGAACTTTACTTCGTCACAACTCCATTCACACTTCCTTGGACTGACGACCAAGTTGTTTTCAAGTAATCGGTCTAATACCTTTTGGACGATTATCTGATGGTTTTCGATCGTGTCTGAGTATACCGTGATGTTGTCTATATAAACTACCACTCCTTCATCTAACAGGTCGTGAAACATGCCTTGCAGAAAGTTTTGGAAGGTGGCCGGAGCGTTGCACAACCCATCTCTTAGGACTGTGCTTTCAAAACTACCATATCTCGTTCGTAAAGCGGCCTTATGTTCATCTCCTTCCTTTATTCTAACTAGTTGATAGGCCCCTTTCAGATCGAGTTTGGTACATACCTTTCCCAATTGAAGTCGATCGAGTAATGTCGAGATAAGTGGCATTGGGTACGAGTCCTTGACGGTTACCTTGTTAAGTGCCCGGTAATCTGTTACCACTCGGTAGGGAATGACTCCCTTCTTGGGAACCAGAAAGACTGGAGACCCATAAGGCGATTTACTTCTTCGCAGATGTCCGCTGGCTAACCCATCATTGATCCATTGCTTTAGGAAAGCATCCCCGTGTTCGTCTAGTTGATATATTGGGCCCGGCTTCAGTTCTGCCCCTGGTGTCAACTCGATCTCGTGATCACATTCTCTTCTTGGTGGTAATCTTCTTGCTCTCTCCACCTTGAATAGTTCTAGATACTGGTGCCAGTGTGTCGGTATGACTTGTCGTAGTTCCTCCT